CGTCAAGCCGGTACAATTATATATATATTTCGGGTGTTCAAAAATTTCCTATACACAGTCTCTTTTTTTTAAACATATAAAAATCACGATAATTATTTATGCCAATATTCAAATCATCATGATCTCAGTATATGTTATCATACTTAAAAAATAGGGGTCGTGTATAGGAACTTTTCGAATACCCAGTATATAGTTTTGTCAAATTATATATATGTGTGTGTGTGTGTGTGAATATGGAGTTTATCAGGCTACATATAAAGTTAAGGTGATATATATAATGTATTTGTGTATGACCAAACTATTTAAACAATAAACTAGACTATTTGACCAGTTTGACCAGAGGTCATTCGACTCACGACCAGCAAATTTATGGCTTGACCAATTCTGATTATAATGTACTGAATTTAAATAAGAGAAAATAACGATTTTTTTTTTTTTACCTAACAATATTATCCACATCACAACTCACGATTAAATTACCCTTATGTGAGAATTTAGCAAGTGATATTCCTGATGTGTGCTCTAAATATATTTCCTTCAAATATTAAACGCATATTTAGAACTTTGTAATTGATAAAAACTGATTTATCAAATATTTATGACAAACCTGATTCATAATGGTAAATGGATTAATATCTTCACCAGGCAATTCTTGCGAATTATCTATAGCATATTCCGATATCGGAGTCAGACTCAAATCATCTGCATATATCTCAGGAGATTTTACTCCGTAATGATCGGGAATAACAACCAATCCTTTATTTGGAGTAGTGGACTGTGAACGTGAAAAACTTTTTTTTAAAAAAGAAAGATTTTATCTGAAAACGTAAAGCGATCAATAATATATTTGATAAGTGTTGATTCACTAATATATAGAATGTTAAAAGACATTTAAAATATGTATGCTTACTAGTAAAGTGATGGAAAGTTGCAATGACTCGAAAATTGATGTGCTTATAGCTGATCAAACAAAAATTCAAGTATATAATTTAGTACAAGACTTACGAATCCTTCTCTTTTTGATCAAACAAAGATTTTGTACGATTTAACATCCTTGTATGGTTTGTTGATTCTTGTGATCTGCTGAGCTGTTAATTAAAAATATTATCAGATAATATAAAAGAGAATACAAGTAATATAGATAATGAAAGAAATTTATCCAACATTTTGCTTAATCTCAGTATCAGTACTCTCCGAATCTGTTTTACCATTTTTAATACTGTCTATTTCATGTTGAAGAGACTGAACTTCATCTTCTAAAATGTATCGTTGAATACGATCCAAATTGAAACATAATAAACTTGGTAAGGCTAATTCACCAGTTTTCCACCAAAGTATTTAAAATAAGTTATCTGACATCAAAGATAATAAATTAAAATTTCTGCACGAATTATAAGATTTAAATTAGCTATTGAACGATTTTGGTAATAATAAGAATAAAAGGATACGCATATTTTGAAATATTGTGTTAAGAAAATTATGTAGAGATGTTGTAAACACTTCTAACCACTGTTTAGTAAAAAATATTTCAAAATTTGGATCAGTTGTCGGATCTTTCGAAAATGGTAATCCTTATTAATGTAATAGTAGTTCATCGGATTAATATGAATAGAAATATTGTAAATGAAGAAAGATATTTTTGTGATAACTTTAAAAATGATTGTAGAATTCTAGAATCCCTACCAAACCATTTTGTCCACTCTGAATTTCCATTCAACTCTGTTCCAAATGCATCAAAGAACTCAAAAACTTTTTCTTTTCGTTTTTGTTGTGTCTCTAATCGTTTCAAGGAACGAGTGATGTTAAATAATTAATAATCATATCACAAAGCCGTCAAACAAAACCCTGAGTAACGACAACAATAACGAATAATGAACCAAAAGATTTACCATAAACAAGGTAATATTTTAAGAGGCACTCTTCAAATTTCTTAACACTTCCAAAAAATCTAGCATCCAGTCTTGAGAAATATCTTAGATCAAGATATCTCCAGTAATCCATTAATCCATTTACATCACTATTCGTGATAAATGAAAATAATTCTTCAATAATTTTTTCAGCCTATATTTATAAAAAGCCAATGTACTTTAGAAACTTTAGAAAAATATCCAACAAATAGATCAAGGATCTAATTAATTATTATACCTGAAATCTTTTATCTTTATCATTCCGGCATTCTGATTCAAAAGAACGAAAAGTAGCAGAAAATCCTCTGAACTATTTCCCATGTAAATCAAAATTTTAACGTTTTTATTTTATAAAAACTATTCTAAATTTAATTTATAAATAAAAAATAACTTACTAACAGATACTCCTTAACAAGTTCGTCTATTTGTTGAAAAGAAGCATCTACTTGTTGAAAGGAATCCATTATTTTTAAAATAATCAAGGAGAAATAATGTAACGTTCAGGCTTGCATTAATTTATATTTATATATAATAGAAACAGTACACAAAACACAAGATTATCACCTAACGCTAAACGCTAAACATATTTAGATTGAAAATCTTACTATATTAATATTATTCGTCTAACGTGTGATGGGTTTACTTGCTATAACAGTTAACGTTAATTAATTAAAGTTTTTATTACCTGGCTATCTTTTTTTTTTGATCTGTGCATAAACGCACATCGGAAAATTTTAATATTAACGGTTTGTAAGCAATATTGTTATGGTAATTACTCAAACGATATTTATGTCATTCAACTTACGTAAATTACTTTTTATTTCCAAGATGACCAAGTATTTTTGTGTATTAACAGCAAATATTCGTAATGAAATGTTTTATACAACATGTAATGTGATTCTGCGAGAGTTGAATCTTAGTCAACCTTCTAGTAAAATAGTACTATGTGTTCATGGTGATCGGAAGGGGTAAAATAAATCTTCTGTATGATTAAATTAAATATGTATGCATTAGTCAAAATGATTATAATTAGTGGATTTAATAGGGGTGCATTGATTTGTACTGTATGATGATGTATTATAAGATCCATACAAAAATCAGCAATGGTCTATATCATAGTATATAGAATTTTCATATAAATTATATAGCGCTCTATATATATTAAGGTTAGGGTTAGATTTAGAAACATGTATAGTTATACGTAATTCTCTTTCACTTTTCTTAAAAAAGTGAAAACGAATCGTTTTACGGATATTATAATAATGTTGTATGATGATATTGACATTATTTCCATCTCTACTATTGAAGGTATGTTTGTACATTTTTTGGACATTACAATAACGTTTAACGAACGTAATAATTTTTTTGTACAACACTAATGATTAATTTTTTTTATAGATATAATAGAAGAAGATATTGAAATTATTAGTAATGTTGAAAGAATATTTTTTAAATACTGAAATAGCAATTTAATTCCTTTTGTATATGTGTATTTGATGGTTAAATTTTTTTTTAAAAATAGAATTACAGACTGTTAATAAGTTTGCTACGAATGTGATTAGAGATATCAATACAAAACATAGATCGAAAGATAATGAAACTGATTTTAATTTGACAAACGAAGAAACAAGTGATCTCACCTTAGCTGATAATAGTTGGAATGCAAACACAACAGAAGAGTTGCAAGAATCTAATAATCAAAGTAAATAAATAAATATAAATATATATACTGTATACGTAGCAATTCTTTTGACATATGCATTGATGATCGAATCTTTTTTAAAATAGTATCACGAACTATTAACGTTAATGAGTCAGATAATGGTCGGAATAGTAATACAACAGATAAGTTGCAAAGACCTAATAGTCAAAGTATATTGATTTTTTTTTGTAGTTATGGGTTCTTTGTCTTGAAAATAATCTTATAAAATATAATGATTATATTCCATACAGTGTCTAAAATTAATATACGGAAGGGGCAGAACGCACACTAAAAAATTTTTTCGTTCCTTGAAGATTAGCAAGTGTGTGCTTCGCGCACATAGATTTTAAGATTACAGCGGAACGTATACATTGAACTTTTAAATTCAATGTTTTATGCTTTGTGATGTACGCTAGATTTATTATACAATTAACGTTGCAATATGATAAATATTTAGTTTATATAAAAATTACAAATTATGTTACATGATTATGTAATTAATAATAAATAATACCTTTACCGTTATACAGTACGGAATAGCAAAAAACATTCAATTTTTTATCAGTTATTTAATGTTTAAACAAATGATTATTTTAAAAATTCCTTTTACCGATTTTATTTATAATTTAAACTATAATCTATAAGACAGATTTTTAATATCTTGCTTTTTATAAAAGTTATAAGGGATCAAAGTTTGGTAATTTTATTAGTAAGTTAGAATTTGGTGCAAAGAAATTTAACAAATAATGTGAACACTAGTCATGTGCTGAATGCTTATTATTAAAAATTATCAATCTCTTATATAAAAAAATATTATAACTCAAGTACAGAATATTTTAGCAAAAATCTTTTTACAGATTTGTTGCCTTTTATTCAAGCTGCAAGTTTGTTAGAATAGGTTGTTATTTGATTTATAATTTTAAAAAATCATATATATGTAATATTTGAAATTTTATATACAGTATATTAATATATAATAAAATTTGGGACACTTTAAGAACTTTAACCCAGTGATTGTCACGAATTATCACCTTCGATATAATCACATGAAAATTTTTAGTAGTCAAAAATATCAACAAAATACAGGTGATATCAATTATGTACACTGTGTAACTGTAAACGCCTCTAATCTAAAACCGAAAAATAATAGTACTCTATCATTTATACTTCGAAATAGTAAATTAGTTGGCTTATATAATAAGCAACAATCTATTGTTATAGCCTTTAATTTTAACCTAAACTTCTATCGTTACGCGGTTTGTGTTGCTTGTAGGGTTGGGGGCATGGGTTAAGAACAACGCCAGGGCGTAGGATCGATTTTCCGATCACATGACTTTCCGACCTAGATCACATATCTCGGCGCAGTCCGTCCAATCGACCAATTAATCAAATTTAACAAACGCAATAAACTTGGTTTTTTTTTTGAAGTACGAGAAGAAATTTATGATTAATTTATTAATATAAATCATAAATTAAATGATAAATCGGGTCGAATAAATCTTAATGATAATTTGCAGTTTATTTGATTTGGCCTTATCATACAATTGATAATATCCAAAAAATAAATAGTCGAAGTTAAACAGATCATAATTAGGTTATATGTAAATTATGTGACTTCGGTAATTTTGGCAAGATTATAGGTGCTCTCAAACTGGGCTAGTTATAAAGTGTGCTCAAGTACTACGATTAATTAAGGCATCCTTATGGTAAAGATTCGTGCTGCGAAGTCGGATATTAATTTCGCCAATCAGCACAATTTTTGATAAAAAAAAAAGTCATTGAGCCAACTTTTTTTTTCCTATCATAATAATGAAATTGCTTGCCGAATAAACTAATTTCTACCAATTAATGTGCTTGAGAGCACTCTATATCTCAAGAAAGCTACAATTTGAAAAATAATAACGTAAAAGTTTGTGGTCATAATTTGCATAAAATATATTTACTCCGACTTTATGCAAATTTATAAAATTACGAAAATTGTGGTAGAGTCAAATAAATTACAAATAAATCGAAAATAATAAATTTGATAAATCGAAATTGCTTAATCATTACCTCATTTTTATTAATACGAAATGCCTATATAATAAATTCGTTAGCGAAAATAGATTAAATAATTCAACAAAATTTTTTAAAAAAACTTATCCCTAAAGCCTTGAATCAACGCAGTTGTGATCTAATGGATACTTGCACCTCTTGTAATCGTATACTTCCTCCTGAAGCGTTTATATATGAAAATAAATCATATAGGACATGTGCTGAATGCAAAACTAATAGAGCCGAAAAGAAAAAATCCAAAAAAACAACTGATATTGATACTGAAGAAGCCCCTATTGAAATAATTGCAATTGATGAAATTAATAATTATATTTTTGATATGATTAATGGATTGGAAAATGATACTGCTCTATTTTCTACTTTTTATGTTAAACTTGATGAAGCGACTCTTAATGCTGTTGGCATCGATGTTAGAGTAATGGCTAAACTGATCATTGACGAAATTGAAGAAGGGGATGATTTCAAATGGACGTAAGTAAATTATAAAATCAAAACATAATATTACTTGCCTTAATTTTTTTTTTTCTAATTTTAATCTAATATTCTTATTATATAGCGCTACAACTGCACCAAACATTTCATCACGTTATGAAGGCGTTGGTAATACATACTTTGTATGTTCTCAAAGTACTGAACTCGAACGTGAATACAAAGACTCAAATCGCAAAAGAATCGATCGTTTCGATTGTGGT